ATGTGACCATGTGACTCACCCCTGGAACATGATCAAGGCAACGTCATTTCTGATCAGTGCAGACAATCAGAACTATGGTGAGTCAATGGTGCCCATGGAGCCATGCACAGCTTCTCTATGTTCGCTTGCAGTGTTCATTTAGGTCTTTTCATACATGTTTACTCCTCCCTGTGTGTCTATCAATAATGATTAAGCACTACTTATGTTTCTTCAGACCTTTTCTAATAAAGGATGTCTACTTCAAGACAGTTAGTATTTTCAGTTACCATGAATGACGCAACACATTTATGTTTCCTCATCTCCTCAGGAAGTTTAAGCTGGAGTCCAAGAAGATTAGTCCAAACTGGTCCACAGCATGTGAAGAGATGTCAGACAGGTCATGTGACCTTACAATGCTCGGCCTGCACTACCTGGGCATCTATGTGCTGCGTGTACGAGCCAATGCAAATGGAAATCACTCCAAATGGGTGCAGTTAGAATTCTGCCCTGATAAAGATGGTAAGAGAGAATGGATGGAATGAAGACAAGTTAATGAGGAGGGGAATGAGAGTAAAACACTTCCTCTAAATGTTTTGGCAGTTTACAGGAAAGATATATTTATTGTAGCGCGGCATGTGACTTTAGATAGTACACCACAAACATGCTTTGGCAACAGAGGACTGAAGAGCAACTAAAAAGAACGGATACGACCACAAAGAGATAGAGCCATGCACCACATTTCTTAGAACGGTAGCCTTGCGTTGTGAATAGTCTCAAAACACTCCGAACTATCAAAACCACAGTGTAGATTTCAGTTGTAGAGTTATTTGGTAATCATGCAAGTTGCTCATAGAAAAAGTGCTGCCCATAGATGCACTGTATGAATGTGTGTGTAATGGGTGAATGGCAATAAACTGTACTGTAAAGCGCTTTGAGTGGTTATTAAGACTAGAAAAGTGCTATATAAATACAGACCATTTATCATTTTGGCAGCCTGTACTAGTAAGCAGGATTTGTTAATGAGAATACATGTAAATTACACATTAATGATGGGTTGGAAATGGAAACACTAACAAAATATTAGTCAGATCTACTCTTGCCCTAATGATAGGACAATATTTCTGTAAAAACATTGACTTCACACGATCAGCAATGTTTTTTCCCAGCGGTCCTTGTGTTTCTTTTAGTCTGGATAATTTGTTTGTTCATATTTTCCAATATAATAGTTTTTCTAATATAATAGTCTGCTCTATATCGCCCTTTTCATGTGCACACACTCAAACCTGGGTTGATTTATTGTTTATTAAGTTGATAACCAGCACCCTGTTAAGTTGGTCCAGGTCCTCTTATTTTAACAGTGATAGCTCAAACAACCATCGGCAAGTGGTAGTGCGTGGGCAAATGAACTGTATGTGTGTCTTCAAGCTCACCAGATATTTTGGGTGCCATACATGCAGCGGTGCTTCATTCAAAAGAGCTGGGTGAGGTGGAATATACAGTAGGTCAGGTTGTGTACTGATTTTTTTAAAACAAACCCTCAGCCAATCACATCACACACATAAACACACGTCTGCTCAGATATTCTATAACTGACAATAATTACTCAATTAATTTTCCTTCCATCATGCTGTAAACTGTTTACTCTAACCAATGCTGTAATTACTCTTATTTTTGTGACGTTCACCATTACACGTGGAGAGGGATCCCTCACATGTGGCTCTCTCTGAAGTTTCTACGTTCTTTTTCCCCGGTTAAAAGGTTTTTTTGGTAGTTTTTCCTTCCTCTTGTTGAGGGTTAAGAACAGAGGATGTCACACCTTGTTTAAGCCCTATGAGAAAAATTGTCATTTGTGAATATGGGCTATACAAAAAAACTTTTGATTGATTGAAAATCACACGTTCTGCTCTGAAGCAGTTGAGCATTAGCATATAGAAATGTTTGGAAATGACCAGTTAATTTTATTATTAAAACAATTGCATTAGTTGTCATCAATGCTTATCACCCTACATGTCTGTTGTTAGAATGTATAATAAGAGGTACCATTTATATATGTATTAATTTTAAATTAATAAATACTTTGAGGTGCTTTGAGGAAAGAACACACACAGTATGACCAACTTTAATCTATCCACTCCTGGATCTCATTCTGTGTCTCAGCTGCTCTGGGCCCTCCTGCCAAAGTGGACCTTGCACCTGCCGGAAGTGACCTTGATGTTTTCATCTCTGATCCATTGACCAGCACCAACACCTCCATGAGGGAAAATCTCTCCGAAATGTACTACCACATCCTCTACTGGGAACATTCTGAAGACTCAAAGGTAGGCAACTCCTCCCTCTGACATACATTAGGCCTATGTGAACAATATTCTGTCTAATACCACTGTTTCATTATATTTAAGGAATTTGTCTGTCATAAAAATGTTAATAATTATCGTAAAGGAGGATTCACACTGACAGAATAACCACAAATGTATGAAGTGGAGAAACGTAAAAGTCATACGCTCATAATCATCCATATTAGCAGAGTCCCATGTTTCTGTGTTTCTTTCATTGGTTGACCAGTGGTCAGCACGACACCTGGCATTCTATTGGTTAGGGAATTTTGACAGGGTTGTTGCACAAAAACTCCAAGAGCAGAGGAGAAATGTGATGAAAGTAATGAAAAGTATTACACATTCTGAACATAATTTCAACACGTTTCTGTGTTTCTAAATTCATTTGAGTGTTGTTTTGTACTCTTCACATGTATCAAAGGTGTTTCCTGTCTGTGCTTAGAGTACCACATGAGAAAGAGTGACTTTATGTCTGGTGCTGTTATTTCCTGCTAGCTGCATTTGCATGAAGCATTATGCAGGTCTGTCTTAAAACTGGTTTGACAAGGCGGAACCTTGTTATTACAGTGCATTCTAAAATAACCCAGAATTGGCTCAGACCTGAAGAGTTGGTCAGATCATTTTCTTCAAGGACAGATTGCATGTAAAAGATTACAACAGGTAAATGGAAGCTTCAAGGCATGATTAAAAAATACCGTGTATGGTGGTGAGTGGCTATAAATGTGTAGACTTTTGAGATCCTGGTGGATGTTATTTTAAGTTATACCCCATTTACACCTGGAATAATATGTAGCGCTAAATTAAAATGTACCATCGTGTGTGTGTGAGTGGGAGAACCGAGTAAGAAGTACATCTCTCAGTGGATGTCTGCACACCACCTGAAAATTAACCTTGACAAGACCAAACTAGTTTTCCTTCCGGGGAAAGTCGCTCCCACCCGTGACCTGACTAATACCATTGACTATTCTGTGGTAATCCCCACCCAGACTAGGAACCTGGGTGTGCCATTTATGTATGGCGTTGCACTTATATTGTAGCACTTTGTAGTTTGGCTTTTTGAAGCAAAATGTACTTACTTGATTCTTGTTGTTCTGGGTTTGTTCCCTCATGGTTGATGCACTTATTGTAAGTTGCTTTGAATAAAAGCATCAGCTAAATGAAATGTAATGTAAAAGTAAAATCCTAGGAGATAAGACACAGGCTGGCTTCGAGGTCTTGGTGGGGGGAGACGAGCACAGCATATCACATGTTTTCTCAATCTTGTGCAGCCTAAATAAAATGTGTTTCAGATTCTATTTACTTATGATTTCAACCTGATAAAATGTACACCTGGTATTAATCTGTTTCACCACTGTCCACATTTAGATCTGTTTGGTATCTGATAGCACTTTCAAGCTCATGTTACATCTTCCTCTTGATGATGAGAGATGAAGAAGAATAAAAGAGGAAGAATAACAGAAGATGGTGGCAATCAGTGCTGCTGCATTATTAGGTTTTCTTGCTTTTCGCACACTGACTCAGCTCACTCTCTGATCCTCCGCAGTTAAAACCTCTGTTTGTTCTGCGCTATGCAAATAAAATTGATTTGAATATTGATTTGAATCTGCAAACTGTAAAGACTGGGTAAAAACAACAGAATATGTTAACTACATTGGTCGCACTGGCTCATTTAGGTGCACCATCACATAATTTAGGTGCACCTAAAATATTATATTATATTATAAAATAATCATGCAAGTATACCCTTTCAAAGAGCAATGAACACTTCTTCTTAAGAATATTCAGTCCTACATGTGTTAGAATTAAAAATGTTAAAAATATCCTTAATAAATAAACTGCACACAACCAAAATAATGAATAAAATTGACTCTCTGGTAAGAAACTAAAAATACTGTCACTAAAATACTGATGTCCTGGCTGTGGGTGTTGCGTGTGCACTAAATGTTGGTTTCATGTATTTAAATTAAACATACTTTGATTAAGTTTGGGGGGTTTAAGCCTCTAGTGTCTAGGTTTAAGCCTCTACACTATCAGATAACCTGGATAATAATGTTTTTAAAATAAAATTTGAAGTTTTGGTTTATCATTTTTTATTTTCTAGTTCCTAATGGTCTGTTACATCAAATCACACAATCACATTTGGTTAGACAAACTGATTAAAACATGTCAGTCTGAAGATCATTGTATATGATAGAATAGTGCCATTTTGCCGTTAGACACAGAATTGGAAGATTAGTAAAATGAATTTTAAATATTAAATGGTGTGTATTTATATAGCGTATTTCTAGTTATCTTTGTGATTGATTTTCATCTACCAGAGGAATTTTGTATAATATATTTGACCTTATATCTATCACATTGTTCCAGACATCCCATCACAGATCCTAATGTTGGAGTGTCATGACTAAATGGAATTAATGAGTAACGTTTGAATAACCTGTCCCATGTGTCCTTCAGGCCAAGGAATTAAGCAGCAAGACCAATATGGTGACTTTGCCAGACCTAAAGGCTTGGACGTGGTACTGTGTGAGAGTCCAGTCATGCAACAAGTTCTACGACAAGAGAAGTAACTTCACTTCACCCCAGTGTCTGCAGACTCAAGGTATCTGAGCAACACACTCTCTAATAGACCAAGGGGGGTGGGACAGCACTACTGAATCAATCTGTTGACATGACTGATTAAGAATGTATGTCTATGCTAGCCTTTTATGAAGGTTCTTTTCAAATCTTTATTCAAGAGCGTCGTATTTCAGTTTGAGCGCATGACTTGTTGAATTTATGTTCAGAATGTGTATGTGTGTTTCATCACTTTCATCACATTTCTCCTCTGCTCTTGGATTTTTTGTGCAACAACCCTGTCAAATTCCCTAACCAATAGAATGCCAGGTGTCGTGTTGACCACTGGTCAACCAATGAAATGAATAATATGATCTATGCCTTGTTGCGGCCGCGTTTGCTTTACTTCAGACAACATCAACATCTTTAGCCACAACACTGTATCACCTTTGCTCTTCCTCATCTCTTCAATCTCTGTGTCCCTGGGCCTATTCTGGGCATAGCTGTTACCACTTCGCTGTCCGTATGACACTGGTGATACTGAGCTACCAGCAGTCTCCTCAGCCCCTCTGATATTCCTTAAATGATTAGTACTAGGTCAGGTTCTATGTCTACCACCAATATCTTTGTAAGTATTCCAAATATCCCCATCCAGAACTTCGGCAAGTTGGGACATAGGGCATAACTGTGCACTAAGGTCCCTTCTGTTGAGCTGCATTTATCACATTGGGATGAGATTTCTGGAAATATTCTATGAAGTTTTGTCTTGGTATAGTGCAATACTTTAAATCGTATTTAACAATGCCGTGCATTAATCGAACATGTGTTTATATATTTCAGGCTCTTGTCCCAGATATCCTCTGATAACTGTGATGCCCCTTCTAGGTATAGGTCACCAACACTAGATATTCCCCTTTCCCCCAATGCAAGAAAAGCACCATCTGAGGGGGGAGTGAATGATGGATTTGCTTTTATGTGTAGTAAAAAGGACATTGTCCTGAGCTTAAAATGTTTTGTAATTTGTTTTCAAATGCGCACAGTATGTATTCATTCATAAAAATTGCATCAAAGAATAAAAAGAAGAACTTAACAAGTTTTGAGTTTAAGTCATAATTTTAGATATATTCAGATAGAAATGAAAGTCAGTCATTTTTAGCAGCGTCACCAGTGGAATTAAGAAACTGACTAAAGCAGAGCTGTTAATGCTGTGTCACCTATGGGTCAACAGATGGAGGTCAAAGTAAAGTCTCTGTCGCTGATAAACATGGATGGACATCTCTTTGTGCGCCTTGTGCAAGATGTATGTGCAATTTTGCAGCATAAAGGAATTGTGTGCTCTCCTGCGCATTGCAATATTTAGAAAGTACATAAAAAAGATATACATTTAGAATTATATCATAATTCAAGAAAGAATTGCAGAGTCAAACAGAATAATGTCAACATAATTATTAGATGTAACTTATATATTTATTTATAATCTCTATAAAGAAACGAAATACACAATCCGTTAATGAAAACCTTGATCTGAATAACAGCACACTTGTTATCGACAAGTTTTGCGTGCGTGCGTGTGTGTGTGCGCGTGCGTGCATTTCAGTGAGTGTGTTTGTGTGTGTAGAGAGGTGATGTGATGGAGAAGGAAAGATGGCAGACGAGGTCACATTAACAACATCACACACCAGCTTAAGTTGGTGGGCTCGACAGCAAGTTTCAGCTTATTCAGTTGGTTTCCTTCACTGCAGTGTGAAAACAGTGTGTCCGACTTGGGGGAAAGCGTGTAATCTGTTATTTCCTCAACAAAATGAAGTCAGCTGATGTTGTGTAGCTGTATCCTGAATCCATCCATCCTGAATGTATTTGGTGAATACAAACACTTTGTTTACTCGATCCGCGAGTAAAGAACTTACTGTCTAGGTCTTCAGTGTGGCTTCAAATCTTTGGGCAAAGTGTCTCATTTTAGTAACCTGGTCGGCTCTCAATACCTAGGTGATACCACAGCAACAGGGAACTCCTTGCGGTCTTGTCCAGTAAAGGGCAACTTCACACAGATTGGCAGGTGCTGTTTCTAATGGGTGCAGAGCTTCAAGAAACATTACGCGAGGGCTCTGGGCTTCAGTAAGAGGTTAGGTCACCAGCTTCAGCCATTAAATCACTACTCCCTGTACGGTTACTAAGTTTCCACACCTTTAGAGCAGGGAAGTGAGATCTTTTGCACATTTGTTGTGTTTTCCTTTCATCTCCTCCCTTTTACTAACGCTCATTTTGGTGGGACAGATGTTTTTGATTTAATGTCATGGGAAAAAGCTTAGAAACCCTGTGTGAGTGAGTCTCTGCTTGTGTGTTTCTGCACTTCAACAGGTAATATTCCATGGTGGCAGATCAGCCTGTACTTCGCGGGCTCTCTGGTGACCTGCTTCCTGGTCATGCTGCTCTTAATCTACAGCTCTTTTAGGTGCTACAAAACCGTCAAGGCAACGTTTTACCCCTCCGACCAGTTGTCTACACATTTTAAGGAGGTACGTAGTGACAGCATGTAATTGTCTAAACTGTATCAATGCTGCAGGGCTATTTCACTTCAATATCAAGTGGACAAAATAGGAAATCACTGCAGGTTTGTGCAAATGGTTAAATTCCCTCCTAAAAAACAAGTTGTTTTTCTGACAGGTCCATACCAACAATCAGAAAACAACATAAATACAGTGAAACATTATCCCTTGATACATATCAACTCAGATTAAAGTTGCTCAGACAGGACTGTCCATCCACATGGATATTGAGTATCAAGCGAGTGGAAGAAACTAAGGATTTCCCTGTAAAAGCCCAAATTCGTTGCCTTTGGTTCATTCTAATGCTACTGTTCCTTCATACAAACTGATCATTTCTACCTGATTGTTAACATTTGAGCTATTTCAAATGAAAATTAGAACTTAGAAAATCGAGAATGATTATTCACTTTATATGATTTGTTGAATTTGACATGAAAACTAAAATACAGTTTAGAAGTGTCCTGTCTCTACTGCTGTGCGTCTTTCTGCAGGTATCATTGTTAGAAAGGGAGGGTGGATGGTCTTGTTTGTTTAAGACAGTAGATTTAAGTTTACAAGAGTTAAACTAGATTTGTGACAAACTAATATAAATACTCAGACTATAGACAGACAGCTTTCCTTTTAGCTTCTCCATAAATATTTGCTCTTACATGAACCAGTGCAGTGTCTCCTCTGATTGCACGATGCGTGTGAGCGCTCAAGCAGGAGCCAAGTCGCGCATGTGTGCATGTACGAGGCTGCCTTCATTTTATTATATTTCACATCACACGCATGCCAGCCTGATTTCCAGCCAGTCTCGCGGGCCACAGAAAATTACCAAAGGGCAGTTTTTTGCCCTCAGGCCACTGGTTAAATAGTCATGCATTACAGCTTTGGCTGAATGCATACAGGAGGCAAAACAAGTTTTATATATTTAAGGTAAAGACTAGATGTAGCGGCTCACCATTTCCATTTTTGTTAAAAATGTTGTCTTTATTCCTGAGTGTCTCATTTGAGTCTCTCTTCTCTTCTCCTCCCCTTGGTCCCCCCTCCAGTATCTGTGTGACTCTCGTGGTTCTGAAATTCCACGCCTCTTCACTGCGGTTTCAGAATCAGAGCTGCTGTGTGATAATTTGGTCATTTGTGATCAGCCAACAGTCCTGGAAATCCACAACTTTTGTCCTGATGACGTGGCAGCTCCTCCATCCGACCCGGAGTCAGATACCAGGTTGAATTTAATCCATGCTACATCTGCTCACATGTTCCATTTATGTTTACGAGTGTATTTGTAGTAATGTAGGCATGACATTTTGGTATTTATATTGTGTAATGTCTTTATAATACAACTTTCGAGAAATAAATAAATAATCTTTATGGTTCCAGTGGCAGACACAGTCGTCAGAACAGCAGCAGTGGAGACTCTGGAGTTTATTCTACAGGGGGATCCTCCAACCTGCCACAGCTCAACAGCAGTCAAACCTCCACTGGAACTGAAGACCTGGAGCAGGTAAAGATGAAGGAAATGACTCCAGGGCTCAAGTCAAAACTTCTAACGGCAGATGAGGGCATTGTAGACATGTGTGTCTGAACACATGCATGGAAAAGTACATTTGTTGAGAAGAAACATAAAGCAAGGATTATGTTAAGGAAACTGGAGGTTTGTGGATAATATACAGTGTGGCTTTTGTTCCTGTAAAACAGTTGGGTAAAGAAACTTCTAGAAAAAAGAAGGTCATGAATGACAGACTCACACAAGGAAGAAAACTGCACAGCTATCACTCACCATCTCAGTTTCCAAGAAGGAAGTGTGTTGTTATACTGGAAAAAAAAAAAAAACCCACTTCAGTGTTTGTATAGCTCTCTTTTCCTTCAGTGGCCTACATTTTGGCACTAACCAGGAGAACTGTTAGTGCTCATCTTCAGCAGCCACTATCTTAAACCTGATTTCATGCTGTTGGTGGTTGACATGGCGCTGTAATATGACAATGTCTGAGAGCATTAGAGTATATTTGTTGCAGTCTGCATCAATAATGTTTTTGAGTGTAAAATTATGTTTTTTTCTTTCTTTTTGAATATCATGTTGCTTTAATTAGATATTAATAGTAGATGATTAGGTAACAAAAGGAATGATTGGGATGAATGACTGTTGTCAAAGTACTGAGAAGTTGCAGAAAAGTGAAGTAAAAAAAAACAAAAAACAATACAGCAATTGTGTACCAGGACTTAATATTTCCATTGATATTCGATAGTCCCAATGATGAAAGGGTGATAAATACATACAGGACATATGTAAAGAAAATCGTTCAACCAAAAATGTCTGACTAAATTGGAATAATATTTTCTGGGTACTGTTGACAGTTGGATTTTTATTGGTTTAAAGTAATAAAAGGGGAAGACTTGGGGCAACCAGGCAGGTTTTTCTGTAACGCAATATGTGGCATCCCAGTGAATAAACATTTACAGTAGTATATATATTTTGGGAGGGAAGGGATTTTAGGAAACTTAGACCCAGTCTGATTTTGAACGAGGAATAATTGGCCAGATACAAAATGTTGATGATGCATCTCCATTTCCTCTTATTGGTCCCCTCAATATACCCACTTGACTAATCACGAGCCAGTCTTAGCTGTCAATCATGATGTTTGACTGTTTTCATAGAATCACATTACTTATTAAAACCAAACTTACAGGGAAAATTGACTTGCCTTGGTGTTATAAGACCTACTTAAAATGACAGAAATCATCTTTAAGAAAAATTGATTTCATATTTACCCTGTAGTATGGCTCATATTCAAACAACCAATCTTGGAGCCAATCGGCTATTGTCCCTCTCTGGGTCAGTGACCTCCTGTGTAGTGAGCGACATCCAGGCTAAGACTCCTGTTGTGCAACTAGTTCCTTTTTCACATGAGCCGGACATTTCTCAACACAAAACACAAACAGTGATTTTGTATGCCTTGGGCAGTGCTGGTCATTGTCACTTAAGTGTACTCCCCACTGACACAATGATATTTAAAATGGTCCAGTTTTTAGACATTTTGATAAAATGTCACTTAATCAAGGTCCATCAGTCCATCCATAAAAGTTTCACAAAATACAGTGAAATGTCTTCCTTCTAATTCTGACTTCCTCTAAACAGTTACGTTTGTGTCTAAAACAATTAGTAACAAACAATTAGGTTTTATTTTATGTGCTTGTGTGTCTGAAAAAAGCTTGCGATCATTTCAGAACAATTTTTTTATTCTTCCATTTATGATTCTAATAGAATCTTGGTGCCATTTTAGTTTAGCTTGTTCTGAAATATATTTTAATATATTACTTTTTTTTACCTACATATTTTTTATCTGCTGTTCATCTTTTGTGTTTGTTTTTAAGTTTTGATGGATAAACCTGGTACAGTTAGTTATAAATTGTACCTTACTTATTTTTCCAGATCACTTAATCCATGAATGGCATTTTTTTGTGAAATAAGTTCATTGTTGTTGCTGAATTTCCTCTGCATTGTCTGAACATATTTTCTTTGTTGATATTGTATCTCAGCCTTTTGTGGAGCTGTGTGCTGGTGAATCTACAGCAGCCATGTTAATGGACAATCAAAGATAGTGAAATAAACCACCCCAATGTCAAACCTCTGTGTCAAAATTAGTGACTCTCTGCATGCTGATTGTCTCTCTCTCTCTCTCTCTCTCTCTCTCTCTCAGGCACGCACTTACACCAGACTACGACATTGATTAACCTGAGTAGGGCTGCCACTATTGACTCTTCATTTTCAGTTTCAATGTCATACATAGGGACAGATGATGCAAAATAATTTTATATTCACTTTATATGCAGTAAGACATGTCTCTACACAGAGGACAGGAGGTGTTTTACTCTTTTTTTTTTGATTGCAAAACAGCTCAGTTGTTAAGGACCTGATGTATTCATTGTGCATTTTCATTCAATGAATCTTTATCTTATAGTATACAGCCAATGGAGGCCATAAAAGAGCCCTTTTGAATCCACGTTTGAGAGACGGCAAGCGCAAATTGTGGCAGTGGCAGCTTGTAGAGGCACTTCCGGTGGCAACAGAAACTGCCACTTGTTGCCGCAGCTGTATGGGGGCTGTTGTCACTGCTGCCATCCTGTTTGAAGGCAACTACCGCAGTTTGCGACTTATTCCCTGAGAATAATACGTAGGTTATGAATGTTTATCAGTGTTTTAATGTTCTGTGCACCATGAATAATTGATGATGTTGTTAATGCTTTGTCTATGTTTTGTGTCATTGAACCAAAACTTGAAATCACACTTCTGCCAGGCTGCATTAGGGCACCTGCTTTTGTCTGTGTTGCCACTCTGTTCAGAGGTAGCTGTCACTGTTGCCGTGCTGTTCGAGGCAGCATCCACTGTTGCCATGCTGTTCGGCGGCTGTTGCCACATTGTTCGGAGGCAGCTGCCAGTGTTGCTACGCTGTTTGGAGGCAGCTGCCACTGTTGCTGTGTTGTTCGGAAGCTGCTGCCACTGTTGCTGTGCTGTTCAGAGGCAGCTGCCACTGTTCCCACACTGTCTGAGAGCAACTAAAGCTGTTTGTGATCTTTTCAGTGAGATATAGGCTGGTTTATGAAAGTTATTTAGATACTTGGTTAGCTGTTGGGGGGGTTGGACTCAAAATGAATCAAGAAAAGCTCCACATCTATCAGATCCATATGCATTATTTTGGTGGCTATGGATGGGTAAGACCTCAAAGACTGTATTCCCAGTATCAGTTACAGTGCGACTGATTGTATGCCTGAGTAAACTGTGATAAACAATGGCAAATTACTCCATGATAGCAATGATGCACAGAGATGCCACTGCTCATGTAGCAATTTATTGACTACAACTGTATAACTGGCTGGGTAGATGCTCTCCCAGCCACCTCCATGTCAACATTCCCCCATTCAGGCGGGGAAGCCATCCGGCCTGACGTGCTCCCTGTGCAGGGACTCTCCGTAGGCTGGGCAGGTGGGCGCCGTCACACAGGTGCCGCAGACCCAGGATGGGTACCACTTCCTGCTGGTGTGTTTTGCAGTTCAGTGTCTGTTTATGACTTTAATATTAATAATTATTTGATGTTCACAAAGCACGGACATTAATTGGCTAATGATGCATTAGTAACAGCTTCTCACCATCATCATTTCAGACAGAGGAGTAGAGTCATAGCAAATTTGAGTCTCTTTATCTAACTCATTGGAAAGAAAGCAGGGTTGACATTGACATCATTGCCATGTCCTACCACATTCTTGTGTACCAGATTGTTGTATGTAATTTTAAATTGTAAATGGTTGTATTTATATAGCGCTTTTCTAGTCTTGAAGACCACTCAAAGCGCTTTACACTACAGTTTTCCATTCACCCATTCACACACACATTCATACAGTGCATCTATTAGCAGCACTTGTTTTGTTTTATGGGGCAATTCAGGGTTCAGCATCTTGCCCAAGGACACTTGCAGATGTGCAGATGGGAAGACTGGGGATTGAGCTTCCAACCTTCTGGTTGGAGGATGACCGCTCTACCCCTCAGCCACAGCCACCTCCTGTGGCAACTCTCTATCAAAATCTAAAAATGATGTCTTGATAAAGGTCATTACACAGATAGACTAACCATTCCTGTTGGCATCAGAAACTGGTCACCTTGGTAGTCTTGTGACTTATTATTTTTAACATACAAAACTATAAGCTAACACAGTGTTTTTCAAAGTGGGGGCCTCGGAAAATTGGAGGAAAGATAAGAAGAAAAAAAAATTCATTAAATCATTATCATAAAATATAATCTCATTATTATTTTTTAATCATTATTATAAAATATAATTTATAATAAAATATCATATCGAAATGTTATTTGCCATCTGACATCTGACATCTCCATTAAACCCAGTATTCCTCCTTCCCTGAACAGCAATGTCTTTATGAAATCCTTTAATGATAAAACTCTAACACCTAACCCTAACTATAAGAAATAAAATGTACAATCTCCTGCCCTCAGTTGACACTAATACACCATCAAGCACAGAAATCTCAGGAACAGCTGAGAATCCCACCAATTATTTAAACAGCTTCTATCTGATCACCCAGCTGACCACAACAATCTCATCCTCTAAACCTACAACCTGTATTTTAGACCCCATTCCTACAAAGTTACTTTGCCCCTAATTAATATTTCTTTACTGAATATAATCAGTCTATTATTATCAACAGGATATGTACCACAGTCAAGTCAAGTTAGCTGTAATCAAACCTTCTCAAAAAAACACCCTCGACCCGGAGGTTTTAGCCAACTACAGACCAATATCCAACCTCCACTTCCTGTTTAAAATCCTTGAGAAGGTTGTAGCCAATCAGCTGTGTGAGTTTCTCCAGGAAAGTAATGTATATATGAAGACTTTCAGTCAGGGTTTAGAGCTCATCACAGCACAGAGACAGCCTTGGCAAAAGTCACTAATCGTCTAACAGGTTTGTGTCTGTCCTCGTTCTGTTTGATCTTAGTGCAGCATTCAACACTATTGATCATCACATTTATTACAGAGATTAGAACAGTTAATTGGCATTAAATGAACCGCCCCATACTGGTTTGAATCCTATTTTTCAGATCGATTCCAATTTGTGCAAATTAATGATGAGTCATCTATGCACACCAAAGTTAACCATGGTGTTCCACAGGGTTCTGTGTTCAACCGAATTTTAATCTCATTATGTATGCTTCCACTACGAAACAGTATCAGGACACACTCTGTAAATTTCCACTGCTATGTGGATGACACCCAGTTCTACCTATCAATAAAACCAGAACAGTGTAATCAATTAACTAAACTTCAAGCAAGTCTCAAGGACATAAAGACCTGGATGACCTGCAACCTTCTCGTATTAAACTCAGATAAAACAGAGGTTCTAATACTTGGCCCTTAACACCTTAGAGATACATTATCTAATGATATAGCTGCACGAGATGACATTACCCTGGCTTCCAATGAAACAGTCAAGAATTTGGGAGTCATCTTTGATCCAGATTTGTCCTTTGATTGTCACTTAAAACAAATTTCTAGGACCGCCTTCTTTCACTTACATAACATCTCAAACATCAGACATGTCCTGTCTCATAAAGATGCAGAAAAACTAGTCCATGCCTTTGTCACATCCAGACTTGATCGTTGTAATTCCTTGTTATCAGGCTCCAGCAGTAAGTCATTAAAGTTTCTGCAGCTTGTCAAGAATGCTGCAGCACGTGTCCTGACAAGAACCAGGAAAAGAGATCAAATTCTTCCTGTATTAGCTTCACTACACTGGCTTCCTGTTAAATCTAGAATACAAAAAAAAATTCTCCTCCTCCACGCCCTTAATAATATGGCACCATCATACCTTGAAGAGCTCATAGTACCATATCACCCCACTAGAGCACAGCGCTCCCAGAATTCAGACTTACTTGTTTTCCCTAAAGCCTCTAAAAGTAGAGTAGAAGCCAGAGCTTTCATCTATCAGGCTCCTTTCCTGTGGAATCATCTCCCAGTTTCAGTTCTGGAGGCAGACACAAGAGTAGGCTAAAAACCTTCCTTTATGATAAAGCTCTCGCTTTAACTCTAACTATAAGTTAGATCTGGTCGAGGCTTGTCTTAGATCTGCTCTTAGTTATGCTGCTATAGGTCTATAATGTCGATGGACACACGACACATGGACCTTCTCTTTCCTCTTCTCCCTCATTATCACATCAAAGAAATTAATTTCTCATTAATACATGTTACTGACTTGACTTTTCCCCCGGAGTCCTTGTGCCTTGTCATTCGCAGATCCTGCTTGATATACAATATGTCTCCTCAGATACTCGACCATTACTGACAATAATTTCTCAATTAATTTACCTTCCATTCTGCTACAAACTGTTTACTCTAACCAATGCTGTAATTAATCTTATTTTTCTGACGTTCTCCATTACAAGTGGCATCTATTGCACTTCTGTCCTTCCTGGGAGAGGGATCCCTCACATGTAGCTCTCTTTGAGGTTTCTACCTTCTTTTTCCCTGTTAAAAGGGTTTTTTGGTAGGTTTTCCTCACTCTTGTTGAGGGTTAAGAACAGAGGATGTCACAGCTTGTTAAAGCTCTATGAGACAAACTGTGATTTGTGAATATGGGCTATACAAATACAATTCGATTGATGATTGATTGATTGATTGACAGCAGAACAAGTTATATAGACTACACATATCCAACAGTAATATCACTTAATTTTTGAATGCAGTTCAAAAAACATAATTACAAAGCAATATGAGGACACAATACTTAAGAGAAATTACCATGTTCTAGTATGGGAAGCCCAGGCACTCATCTGCATTATGTGCTGACTAGTCAACTTCTTTTTCCATGGAGACTGGATTTCTTTGGCATTGAAAAAACATGTGTCACTGAAGTGTGGCACAGGCACATCTTATAAATGATCAGTAAACAAAAATGAAGAAGTAACATGGCATGGCACATAAAATGCTTAATAACTTGTATTGAAGTTTAACTAAAAACTAATTTTCAGATGAAATCCAATATATATGGATATTTAGTAGAGAAAATATTTATTCGGGGATTCGGCCATATGAAATACAGTACATACGAGCACAGAAGTGGAAAAGAATACAACAGATGTGAAGGGATGACACCATAACTGTACGCAGCGTCTGAACCATCCACGCCCCGGATCAATACCAAGGGAGTCAACGTTAACAAACTAGTCCAACTCTCCCTGAATCAGTCACAAACATCAGTAGATGCTCTCAGGCAGTGGCAGCACAGACAACAGCAGGAGCTCTCATGCAGCCTGGCATAAGTGTGATTTCAACTTTTGCTTCAATGACACAAAACATAGACAAACAGGTCTTCACGAGTCTGTGGACATTTCTGTTGCCACCGGAAGTGCCTCTACGAGCTGCCGCTGCCACGACTTGCGCTTGTTTGCCCATTTCCCAAGTGACTGCCCCTGGGATACAGCTGGAAGTGTATCAGATCTCCACTCCATAACAGCTGGTGGCGGTAAAGCACCCGATCTCTGTCTCTCTGTCTCTCTTTCTCTCTGTCCCAGGTTTAAGGAAGTGGCGCAGTTAGCACAGACGTCTCTGCTACACTTTCAGTTATAGTCTGTGGTTAGAGTATATCACATACATTATGTTTTCAGTGGAGACAACTTTGCCTACTCACTGAAATGACGCTGTCGCGATGCTTCTCATGTTGCTGTGTATTCAGGCCGTCGTCCAAGGTAATTTCAGTGATCGCTGTCGCTCTAGTCTTGTGTTTTTAGTTTTACTCTTGCACTGGTTTCACTTTTTAAACATACATCTGCTGTACCTGTCCGTGTTAGAGTAATTCCCAACTTCATGGCGCTTCAGTTGTTCTTCAAATCTGTATTTATATTTGGCTTCAATACTCTGCTTCCGTTTTAATAGCTCCACTCGCATATACTTCTTAACAGTGATAGCTTTGTGGTAGTTCTGGTAGCTAGACTTGTCTCATATTGACCCTTTATTATTCTTACGCTCTTGCCTAAATCTCCCTCCGGATCAATAATATATCTATCACTCTAATATCCAATAACCAGTGTCCCTGTGTGCTGTGAGTCGACACACAAATAAAAGATTGAGAGAGGCCTGTAACACTACACTTCAGCTGTGAAACACGGCAAGCTACATGAAGAGGAAGCTCACTCTTAGCTCCCTGCTTACTTCTCTTGTAAGAGACAATGACTTGTCCGGGAAGTGTTGCATTTACAAGATGCAACACTAAATCAAAGGGCTACATTCTCTGTACATTTTGTTAGTTCAAAACAGTGCTACAGTGGACTGGAAACTACCATACCTCTCAAATAACATATATGATTATATGTCGACATGTTGTGTGATGGTATGATTCTTTTAATTAGACTTTGTGCGTTAACACTTGAATAAAGTGTAATTCACCGGTCCGTCCATTCCCGTCAGTTCCAGTGGTGTCTGAGGCTACGCTGGCACCACCGCAGAACATTCATGTTGATAAGTGGCTACTAACGTGGACTCCCGCCACTGAAGAGAGAGATGTCATCTACACTGTTCAGTACCATAGGTGAGGTCAGATGGATCCGTTACTCTATAGAATTACACATGCTGACAATAAATGAAACCTAAAAACTTCCCAAATCTTTTGTGGACATGTATCAAGATATTATTTACTTTGTCTGCAATGTTTTCATTTTGGCTGAGACTGAAGAATCTTAATATTTTTATTTTAACACAACACAGCCAGTGTCCTTGCTGGTTGTGTTGTACTGTATTTCAGTATATATATATGAAATGTGTCCTACAGCTGCAACAATGATTCAATCAAACAAAAAAGTTGAGTGACAGAAAATCTACTGCACTACTGTCCGTCCTGGGAGAGGGATCCCTCACATGTGGCTCTCTCTGAGGTTTCTACCTTCTTTTTCCCTGTTAAAAGGGTTTTTTTGGTTGTTTTTCCTTACTCTTGTTGAGGGTTAAGAACAGAGATGAGACAATTGTGATATGTGTATATGGGCTATACAAATAATGGTAAATGGTTTGTATTTATATAGTGCTTTTCTAGTCTTGGTGACCACTCAAAGTGCTCTACAATTTGATTGATTAACAATAGATAAATTATAAATGATACTGTCATTATCCAGGTTCTTGGCTGATGTAAATGTGTTGTTTCTGTATCTTCAGGTTAGGTACAAAAGTGTGGAAAGATGTACCAGTCTGCAAACAGACATCTTTCAACTCATGTAATGTCACTCTCATCAGAGATGAGAGTGAGTTTGGCTGTGTTATGCTGCGTGTGCGGGCAGAGAGACATGGGCTGACCTCCAAATCTGTCAACGCCTGTAGCAGAAATGGTAAGAAACCAGGACCTGCCATGTAAACAGGACAGAGAGCATTGTCTTGCTATAGACATAAACATAAATTCAGTTAAGGATATGTCATTGTACAATACCAATTTTGCTTGGGTATAAAAGATATTCTCAAAGATCTAAAGCTGTAAACTGTTCAAGGAAACATCTCACTTGTTGCAAAAATATTAAGGTAGGCCTGTCAAAATAGCAAATTTTGTTGGCATTATATATTGTCCCAGAAATTATTCAAGGAGAAATGAATTTGTGTGTGTCCTTCTGTCTGCTCCTTTTTGTCACTCCTTACACACAACCTGGCGATTACATTTATTCAGTTTTTTATCGAAGGTGACAGATCATGAATCCGGATCTTTCTGGTCACATTAAACCTGATGTCCTAGCTGTGGGTGTCTGGTGTTGTGTGTATCAGTTGAAATGTTTGCACAGAAAATGTTGGACTTTTTTCCAATGTTTCAATGTGTGTCCCATAAACTCTGGATCGTATCAAACTGCAGTACTGTAATGTTTCTACTATTTCTGCTGAATAGATGCTTTGCATTTGGATGTTATGATTGAATGAGATTTGTCCACAAGTGATGTAGTGTGCACTCATCTCCATTAAGTTTCTCATTTCCTCATTGGTGGTAGTTACAGGTTTCTAGTCCTATTTGTTACTAAGCAGCGGCTGAAAAAAGCTTACACCCCTATTGGGGCCACTGCTCCCATCATGCTCCCCAATTATGATCATCATCGTAAATATCATTCAAAGTGATGGATTGGTGCGTGATTGAGAAGCCTCAGAGACACTGTTATCACAAGACCGGAAGATGCACGGCTTCATACCCCTGAGTCCTGGCATTTAGTTGAGCACATAACCGACTTTTATTCAAGGAAGTACAGATCTTATTCCAGAGACTTCATGAAGCAGCTCCGCTGCAGAACTGTAACACGCAGCAGAACCCACCTCGTTCCCTGCCTCGTAATGAGATGCACGATATGCGCTTGTGCAGAGCTTGCCTTAACTGCTGAAAATAGAAAGTGTAATATACACTGTGCAATATACACTGTGCAATATACACTGTGCAATATACACGGTGCACTGAAAAGTTTTGTGACTTTCCTTCTGTTTTGTGGAACAAATTGTAGAGTTCTGTTTAAATTTTAACAACAACAGCAACATTGATAATTAAAATGTATTCTTTGGCTTATTGCAACTTTCCCCTATGTGGGATGAATAAAAGATTATGTTATCTTATTTTATTAAAGAAGGGTGCACCTTTAAATACTTAGAGCTGCTGTGTGTGTGTGTTTCTGTTTCTGTTTCTGTTTTGCGTGCTCTATTGTGCAATTATATACTGTCTTTGCAAAGTTTTCTGACAAATTGAACAGTTCTGTTTTTCTTAAATACGCAAATATTTATACAAATAAATATGTATACAAGTAGTTATTTTATTTATTCATGTGGGGGGTGCATAAAGCAATTACGCCTAGGGCACCCAAATGGCTAGCAGCAATCCTGACCCTTATGAAACCACATTTAAATCCACTTAATCTTTGCTCATTTAAAAGCACAAGAGAATTTTTAGAAGTTGCATTTGATCTGCGAAAAGGAGCAAAATCTTGTTTAGAGAAACAAAATTACACTAATAAATGAGATTTTGTTCCCTTTTTTTTCAGGTGACTCTTGTAGCCCTGAGGTCAGTCTGACTGCACGGCCTGGCTCACTGACTGTAAATCTGAGTAGGAACAACAGCATTGCTCTGGAAAATGGAGACAATGTAGAACACAAGGTTTACTATGGCAAGGATGGAGAGCCACTGCAGGTGAGACTCATCATCAGTTTAGCAAGAATGCAGAATGCTGTTGCTTCTTTTCTATGTGTTTTCTATGGGACTTAACACTACATTCACATCTGGCCATTTTATTTAAATGTAAATAAATTATATTAATTCTTTTTTTGGTGAGGGAAATAATGTTCATGTGAAAAACTTTTTCACACCATCACTGACATGTCAAATCTGCAGTTAAGTTCAGATAAATTCACAGTTTTGATCAGAGTGAAATAAGTTTGTTGTTCCTGCTGTCAAATGTGCAAAAAGGTGTTAATAAAGAAAAACTAAGATCTACAGATGTATCTTCCAGTTGGCCACACTGATGTTAAAAAGTTTTAAGTGGGCTGAAAAGATCTGGAACAGATAAACCAAGATAAGATTGGATAAGATAAGATAATCCTCCCCACATCAGCGAAATTTGTAATGTTACAGCGGCCACAGGCTTGTGAAAAATAGACATCAGTTAAGGAATAATAATTAAACATGCAGTACTTATAGAGATATAAAAAATATAAATGGAATACAAACTAAAATATACAATAAACAGAATATATACAGTGTAAGAGTAGAGGTAGGTTTTTGCCCCTACACATTACACACACACACACACTTGCAAACCCACCTCCCTTACTGACTGCTTGGCAGAAATTAAATATTGGTTAACCTCTAATCTTCTTAAATTAAACAGTAACAAAACTGAGGTTCTCCTCATTGGCACCAAAACCACATTATCCAAAACCAATAGTTTCTCTCTCAACATTCTTGTCAACAATTGCTCCGTTTCCCCCTCCCCACAGGTTAAGAGTCTGGGTGTCATCCCTTTTCAATCCTTCATTGATCACCCGGTCTGCCTACTTCCACCTGCGCAACATAAATCGCCTCCGCCCCTCCCGCACTCCCCATACCACTGCCATCCTCGTTCACAGTCTCGTCACCTCCCGCCTGGATTACTGCAACTCCCTCCTTCTCGGTTTCACTCACAAATCCCTCCATAAACTCCAACCGGTCCAGAATTCAGCTGCCCACATCATCACCAGAACCCCCTCCATCCACCACATCACTCCTGTCCTACAACAGCTCCACTGGCTCCCTGTCAAATCACGCATCAACTACAACATCCTTCTGCTTACCTTCAAGGCCATCCATAATCTTGCTCCAACATACCTCTCCGATCTCCTTCATGTTGTCACTCCGTCTCGGTCCCTCAGATCATCTTCTTCTATTCACCTGTCTGTCCCCTCTGCCCGTCTCACCACCATGGGGAGCAGAGCTTTCAGCCGCTCTGCTCCCCAGCTCTGGAATTCTCTACCACCCGTCATGTGAAACATTAGCTCACTCTCACAATTCAAGTCATCACTAAATCACTATCTGTTTAAAATTGCCTTCTCCATCTAAACCCACCTCATGTCACTGTGAAATTTGAATCAGTTTTAATGTTTTAATGATGTATACTTTTAATAACTCTCTGTTAATATTTTTCTTTTTAATGTTTCTCCTTTTAAATGTTTTGCTTTTTTGCCTTAACTATGTACGGTGTCCTTGAGTGACAGAAAGGCGCCTTTGAAATAAAATGTATTAGTATTATTATTATTATTATTATTATTATTATTAATGTGTCATTGTTATCATCTCTCCAGCAGAAGTATAAAAAAGGTATTTCTTCAGTGACCATCAAAAAGCTGGAGGAGGGTCAACGTTACTGTGTGAAGGTGCAGTATGTTCAATTGGATGAACCTGTTGGACCGGAAAGTTGCATCCAGTGTGAGGTCATCCCTGTGTCCAGTAAGACCATGTTACAGTTTTTCTGAATTGCTAAAAGGCATTTCCTGAAACTACCTTTCCTTTTCTCAAATATATATATATTTTTGCACTGTATGATTTTACAGTAATCATTCTGCCTCAGCATCATGCCTCTGGGCTTTGTCAGGCCACAGGACTTCATCTATAACACAGGCAATCCACTCCCTTGCTAAGCAATGGGAAAGTACTTATTCATGCTGAGTCCTGCCATGAACCGATTCAGTTAGAATAGATCATAATCATCACATGCTGCACCCGGGAGGGGGGGAGGGGTTGTGTGTTACAGATGACAACAGGTTGTAACTTGTGTTTAACCTTTGGGGCCTGTGTGCGTCATTCTGGGTATAGTGCACTACACTGCAATGTGCATTGTGAATGTGCATGTGTTTAGAGTTTTGCAAAATGGGTGATTTAGATTTTCCAAAAGATATCACAAGTTTCTATTCTGATTCTTTGTCCTCGTGTTTGTTTCGTGTGTACACACACTGCTGTATCAAACTAAGCACTGACAACCAAAAAACAACAAAACAAAACCAGCAAAATGGTCCTGTAGAAATCCACACGTCTCTAACCGTTTATAACCTTGATGTTGAAAGTCAGAAAGTCAGAACATGATGATATTATTTGTAATATGTTGCTTCTGTTTATTGTGTGTGTGTGTTTGTGTATGTGTGTATCTTACCTTTCCCAGGACAGCAGCTAACACAAACAAATGTTATAGTAGCTGTGGTGGTTGTCGTTTTCGTGTCCTTTCTGATAACTGGGATGGCATACGTCCTCCTCTTCCGACACCAGAGAATCAAACAGTGGCTTCAACCTCCGTGCGAGATCCCAGAACATGTGAGCATGAAAACCATTAACCACACAACCACCAGGTCATACCGTGTAGATCTTCACTGTGTATTTAGCCTAATAAGATATATTGTAAGACAGGAAGATTTCATTGCATTTACAGTGGCATGATAGAGATAAATCACCCCTGGTCAAAATGTCTATTACTTTATACTTAGTAGATCAGTGTATTATTTCTCAATTTCTACAACTTAAGAATTTAAAAAATACCATGCAAAGGGTTGAGTAACTCTAGAGAGTTAAGATCATAATTACTTTGTCAATGGCATGAGGGTGTGGATACTATGACTCATGCCATGTCATGTCCCAAACATCTACAGAAATGCCCTCCTCTCAGAAATTTTAGCAAGGGTTGCCGCAACGTTTTCATGTCAGTGTGGGGCGAATGTAGGTAGTAACTGCTTGATTGCAGCTTGGTGTGAAATGTTTTGGTAAAGGTGAGTTCAGAAAAGAGTTGTGTATATTTGCAGTGGTTAACTGGAGTTATGCAAAATGTTAATGTTGTGCTTGCCCACCCATTTTGCATTTGACCTATGTCAAGTTTGCCTCCTAACTTACAGTCGCTATTGCTAACAATGTAATATGATCTCATGAGGTATTATAGGTATTTTTCATAGCAGACAATTTGACATGGCACAAAAAATAGAACATTGGTTAAAATGCATTTAGCTGCTTCAGTCTCAGAATCCTGGTGCTGTTCATGCTGGCTCACTGTCACATGGTCATGTCTCACTAGGAGACTAGTTGAACTGAACTGAACTGAAACAAGATATTGTTACTGTTATCAGTTGCACGTACTTTTCCTACTACGGCATGTCAAAATGTTTGCAGTGGAATGAGCAGCTTATTACACAATAAGGAAACCATGCCTATCATGGAAAACCCAATGTAATAGTGTAGATTACCAAATGCAAGCATCGGCATCAGTAGCAACACATCCCCAAGGAAGTCAAAAGAGAAAATAAAGGTGTAGCCCTACAATGTTGATGAAATACATAAAATCATTAGAAACAGTAAATCCACCACTAACCTTTCAACAACTTATATTGCATTTGACTTAAATAAGTTAAACCTTTTTTTTTTTCTTTTCCAGTTTCTCTTGGAGGCACCTCCAGGGCATCACCCTTGCAGCTACGCCAGCAGCGTCAGTGACGAGCACTGTGATATAATTTCCTTTATTGAATGAAAGCAGCTGCCATCCCTTTGCTCCATATGTCCTGCTCATTTTGCTGTTGTAGAGATCAGACGTGAGGTTTGACCTGTACAGACACTCTCTAAAACCTACTACTGAGTCCCCTACAGTTATATGTAATCTGCTTCTCCCTGAAGCCTGACTTTCTTCTAGGAAGGATTTGGATTCAGGATCAACTGAAGGTTAAGAAACACTAAAATGTATTCCTATCTTGACAATCATTAGGCTTAATATGGATTAAGAATTCCAGAAAAGTGCCATTGTAGGAGATGTAAAATATAAATAGTTATCAGAGTAGTTTTAAAAAGTTAAGAGAGATTTCCCACAGGAAGTGCAAATTGAGCAAAAAGACATAAGGACCATATTTGGCGGCATTTTTGCATTGTGTGAGCAAATACTTATTCAATTATGATTACGCCACGAAAAAACCAAATGTTATCTATGCCCCGTCCACCTGCAAAAAGCCAGTCAATAAATCAGCTCTTCAGAAACAGTTGAAACCAAAGCAGACAGCAGTAACACAGAATCAGTGTGGCTTCTGCCTATTTATTTGACACTAGTTTTAGGGAAGATCACCACAGGTGAAAAAACATGAATCTGAACTTTTTATATTTATCTTTAAATGGTAAATTTGTTTATTTTAATGCATTTAAGTTTGTCTCCAACCAGTTAAAACTGCAATGTTCCTGTTGTCTCGCTGTAATATTGGCCACCACTATGATTTCTTTCCACTTACATGAACAAAACTGCGAAATGTCCTGTGCTGATGAATTTAAGATGTGTCTAGTTGGATGTTACAGGCTTTAGACTTTAGTCATGTCTCAAACTTATTGCCATGAAATGGCTAATGTTAAGACTGCCCTTTCATTGAAGGTCTGCTACTTGTTTTTACGTGTTTATTGTACAAGTACAGATTAAACGGAATCATGGAATCATATTTGTCATTTCATGTTTCTAGCCTTTTTATAGTGTTGGTTATAAATGCCTGTTTGATGTGTCTTTACAATGAATGAATGAATGAATGAGATGAATTTGTACCTAAATGACATTATTATTAGTAGTAGTAGCAGAAGTAGTAGTTAGTAGTTGTTGCAGCAGTAGTGGTAAAAGTTAACTGTTTTTGACACACTACTGTTTTTAAATAAATATGCATTTTTAAAGCACTGAGCACCACAAAGTTCAGTTCACCTCGACAGTATTTTGGGGGGGTTTAGAATATAGTATTATAAATACAAACTGTTGGAGAATGATACAAGAAAGGTTTTCATACATCTAGCTAAATTGACAAAGTACAAACATAGCAGACATTATTAGAATCTCCTTTATCACGGTAGAATTTTATATCGATGTTATAAAACAAGTGTAATGGATTGTATTAATATTAATTGGTGTTCTGTTTTTTCTCTTTTGGGTGTTTTTGTTATGAAATGAATTTCATTTTTTTCACATAAATCAATGATTCAATGACTGATGTTTAATTTGAAAGTAATTGTTAATTAAGATCAAGATTGTGCTAACATCTGGTTGTGTTTACAATTTAACAAATTAAAAAAATGTGATTTTAATGTAGCTTCAAAGTGAAATGTTTGTTTGCAATTTCTGAAATGATCCCTATTTTCTTTTGTTGCTCAACAAGTAATTACAGAACTCAACTTTCTCGTCGTGAGCAATGAATGCACTATTAGAAATATTGCAATTTAATCATTTGGCTGATAGTTGACAATGTCATCCATTCCCATAGTGATGACACTGTATCAGCAGCAATTATGGGTGCTTTGTCTCTGCTCAAGAACATTTCAACGCTCAGTGGAGCGGTCGTGGAACAAACCGGGATTCCTCTGATCGCTGAGCGTCTACTTTACCTCCAAAGCAATGCACGTCAAAAAACACTAATACAAATTTTAAGGGGCGTATATGATGGATTGATGGATGAGAATATCAGCAAAATAACATTATTTACAACATTGATTAGAAGAAATAGTTTGGAACATAATGGAAAAGTATTTGTAAATAGAGATGAAGGGAGCAGCAATGATAACTTAATTGAGGAGTTATTGTAAGTAATAGTCAAGTATCTGAGTAGGTGTATTGTGTGTCCAGCAGTCTTGTTGTAAAAAATCCCCCATCTCGATCTCTGATTCGCGATCCCACCAGTATGATCCACAATGTTTCCACAGCTACGGTCCTGGATCTGCAAACGATAAAGCACAAGCACTACGGGCAAGAAGTCAAATCAATAACATGTATTGATGAGACAATATGATAATGAAGAAGAAGAGGAAAGAAGCTCCATGTGTCGTGTGTCCCTCGACATTCTAGACCTATAGCAGCATAACTAAGAGCAGATCTAAGACAAGCTTGGACCAGCTCTAACTATAAACTTTATCATAAAGGAAGGTTTTAAGCCTACTCTTAAATGTAGAGAGGGTGTCTGCTTCCCGAACTGAAACTGGGAGATGATTCCACAGGAGAGGAGCCTGATAGCTGAAAGCTCTGGCTTCTACTCTACTTTTAGAGGCTTTAGGGACAACAAGTAAGTCTGAATTCTGGGAGCGCTGTGCTCTAGTGGGGTGATATGGTACTATGAGCTCTTTAAGGTATGATGGTGCCATATTATTAAGGGCCTTGTAGGTGACGAGGAGAATTTTTTTTTGTATTCTAGATTTAACAGGAAGCCAGTGTAGTGAAGCTAATACAGGAAGAATGTAATCTCTTTTCCTGGTTCTTGTCAGAACACGTGCTACAGCATTCTGGACAAGCTGCAGAGTCTTTAATGACTTACTGCTGGAGCCTGATACCAAGGAATTACAACGATCAAGTCTGGATGTGACCAAGACATGGACTAGTTTTTCTGCATCTTTATGAGAAAGGACATGTCTGATGTTTGAGATGTTACGTAAGTAATTCCTGAGAGTTTCATTGGAAGCCAGGGTAATGTCATCTAGCGCAGCTATATCATTAGATAATGTATCTCTAAGGTGTTAAGGGCCAAGTATTAGAACCTCTGTTTTATCTGAGTTTAATACGAGAAAGTTGCGGGTCATCCAGGTCTTTATGTCCTGGAGACATGCTTGAAGTTTAGTTAATTGATTACACTGTTCTGGTTTTATTGATAGGTAGAACTCGGTGTCATCCACATAGCAGTGGAAATTTACAGAGTGTGTCCTGATAATGTTTCATAGTGGAAGTATATATATGAGAATAAAATTGGGTCAAACACCATGGTTAACTTTGGTGTGCATAGATGACTCATCATTAATTTGCACAAATTGGAATCGATCTGAAAAATAGGATTCAAACCAGTATGGGGCGGTTCATTTAATGCCAATTAACTGTTCTAAGCTCTGTAATAAAATGTGATGATCAATAGTGTTGAATGCTGCACTAAGATCTAACAGAACGAGGACAGACACAAACCTGTTAGACGATTAGTGACTTTTACCAAGGCTGTCTCTGTGCTGTGATGAGCTCTAAACCCTGACTGAAAGTCTTCATATACATTACTTTCCTGGAGAAACTCACACAGCTGATTGGCTACAACCTTCTTAAGGTATTTAGACAGGAAGTGGAGGTTGGATATTGGTCTGTAGTTGGACTGTCATTTTGGGTTTATAAACAGAGTTATATTCCTGGATAAGAGAGCCGCTCCATCCCAAGTGGGATAAAAGCTGTCTCTTCTCATGAGACCAAGTTTCCTCCAAAAGGTTTGCCAGTTGTCTACAAAGCCCACACCATTATGTTTCATAATAAAACATATTAAAACATGTTTTAATGCATTAACTTACCTCTCTGTTCCAGTGGAAATTCCAATCCAGATCCAAAGCTAGATCTGAAAAAGGTTGAGCCTTCATTGGAGTTGATGACCTTTCTTATAGCTGGAACAGAACAGCAAGAAAATCGGTGCTACACGGCACAGTGGTCTACTCCTTTAACAATTATACAGGTATAGTAAATCGCATGTCCTGCTGAAAACTAGAGACTCAACGTTGGTCTGAAGCCCTTTGTCTATCAGTAGAGATTTCCATCCAGGAGGCAACACCAGTGTATCCCGGTTTCTGTCGTCATATTTCCCGTTTCTTTTGCCTCTTCACATTTTCCCTCATTTGATGTTCTCTTATGTCTCTTTGTAATATAAGTATGATCCTCCATTTCACGTAATTTCTGTTAGCAAACTTCCAACAAACCTTAATAACAACCTCCCACTCCAGCTTCTCATTCTATGTTTCTTCTAGGAGTATATTTCTTCTTTGTCTGATAAATTCATGCTGCTGCATCAATATACAAACCCAAAACACCATCTGTAACCAGTTTGGCCATTCTAGGCAACATGGTGATGCAAAATGTCGATGTCCATAGGAGGAAGACCCTATCTAAATATATAAGACTCATTCTCACGTAATACTATGATTTTTCATTACACATTCATTACACAGTTACTAATACATAGATATGAGAATTATATAAAATCTTTGCAGGGATTTTTTAGAAATTGTACACTCTGCTCCTTTAATATCATATAAAACCATGGGCCTGTACTACAAAGCAAGGTTACTGGTTTATCAGGGTAAGTTCAGTGCCTGTGCCTTTTTCACTTAGCACTGCTTTAATTAAGGGAACCTCTCCAAGTTGTGACCCGGTCACCAAAGGGAGAAATCAACAGACAGTTGTTTTTATTTCACCTTTTGGGTCCAGTTAACAAAAAACAATTGGATCTAAGTCAGCTGTTTTTGCTGTCCAAAGATGAGAGACTTCATTGAGAAGAACTGACCGAGTTCCCTCAGCCAGACGGGCTACAGCTCGGGTTAGCTCGGTCATCCTCTAACCAGAAGGTCAGTGGTTCGACCGCAGTCTTTTCCATTCCGAATGATGAAGTCTCCTTGGGCAAAATACTGAGCCCCAAATTGCTCTTTGTCATAGAGAAAAGTGCTGAACATAGATGCGCTATATGAATATAAAACTGTACTGTAAAGCACTTTTATAGTGGAGATTCCCAGGTTGGATTCAAGCCCATGACCTGAAACTGTGACTCCACCCCCCCCTTTCTTTCCTTTTGTTCCCTTATTTTTTTTCTCCATCACCCCAACCGGTCCTGGCAGAGGCTGTCCACACCAAGCCCGGTTCTGCCGGAGGTTTCTTCCACCTGGCAGGTTTTCCTCCCCGCTGTTGCTCATGCTTGCTCAGTGTGGAACAAGTTGGATTTTGTCTTTTTTAAGATCTTGGACTTTTGTGCAGCACCCTGAGACAACTTCTTGTTGTGATACCGTGCTATATAAATACAATTGATTGATTGATTGATTGATTGATTGACTAATAGAAGCAAAGAAAACTGAGCTATTAGAAAAATGCTGATTTGTCTTGCGCATACTTGGAAAAAATACTAGATAAGGAAGAAATCCAAATCATAAATGTAGTGTAGAATCTCTTTTTCATCCTTGCATACAAGGATATGACAATATAAAAATGAAAAACACACGAAGCACATCAAAATATCACTTGAGAGGGTATGAAATCAAGAATCACATGAAATAAATGAAAATTTGTTTAAGTTATGAATAAAAAACTTTTAAAAGCCAAACTACACTCAAGCATCACACTCTGCTTGTGAGGAGGAGTCTATCAGATCTGTACTTATCATAAAACTGATAACATGCATTGTGATATTTTATATTATATTCAACTTTAGTCCAGTAAGTGTCTGCATAAAAATAAACAAGCATTAAGTGTTTGGTTTCCAGAACTTACACACTGAATGTAGCAAATTGGGGTAAATTCTTTAATTAAAAAAAACATCCAACCATAGACCATTATGTGTAAATAGTAAAGTACTTTGAAACATGTACACTGGCAATAAGATAATAGCGATAATGTGGTGGTAATGTTTACAAACTGCCATGAATTTATCCACAGGTCCTTGGGCACATTGCCCCCTAGTGACCG